CCCTTGGGAGTTGGGCGGCATAAAAATATGATTAATTAAATTAAATTAAACAACTCCTCCTGGTAGGCTAGCGTAGATCTGGTTTCAATTTGTCTCCCGTGTCGTGGATTTTAAAGTGCACTTGGAGTAAATGGACTTTGGAGAGGATGACATCTTCAAAAGGGGAATATCTGTCCTAGAACTTGAAGATTGTCTTCTCTGAAATAGGAGCAGTGTCTCCTATTTGTCTCATCCAGGTGTTCCTACAGGGCACTTCCATAGAACAATACTAGGATTCCACAATGCACTCTATTCAAAAGTGTTCAGATGACCAAATCCATCTTCTGCTAAACACTTGACAAGAATCCACCCAGCAAGGCTTAACTGCCTTTCAAAAATCCTACAATGGAAAGTGGAGCCCAAATTACATGGTAATGTCTGAACTGCCCCCCCAGGAAAAAGAGTGTTTGGAGTGACACCTAGTGGTGGTTGTCCACAGAAAACCTGCATCACAAAGAGGTTGGAGACCTTGATAACTTAAGTACAGCCTGCATTAAGCTTGGAGAAGGAATCAGGCTCTTCCAATCCCAGGGAAGATCCATCGCTTGTTCATTTTTAAGGATCCTAAATCCAATTTCGCTGGGAAAATGACAAGATGCATTTATTTATTTATTTTACTGACACTTCGTTGGTCATCATTTAAGGCAGGGATGACCAACCTTGGCAACTTTAAGAACTTGTGGACTACAAGTCTTAAAAGTAGCTTAGGTTGGACACCTCTGGTTTAAGGGAAAAGCAACAGGGTCATTGATTGTTGACATCCTAAAATAAGAAGCAACCTAGAACCAAGAAGAAATTTCCAGACAGAACAATTAACCAGTGGAACAACTTGCATCCAGAAGTTGTGAATGCTCCAACACTGGAAGTTTTTAAGAAGAGATTGGACCATTTGTCTGAAATGGTATAGGATTTCGTGCCTGAGCAGGACGTTGGACTAGAAGACCTTCAAGGTCCCTTCCAACTTTGTTATTCTATTCTATTCTATTCTATTCTATTCTATTCTATTCTATTCTATTCTATTCCATTCCATTCCATTCCATTCCATTCCATTCCATTCCATTCCATTCCATTCCATTCCACTCCACTCCACTCCACTCCACTCCACTCCATCCCATTCTAATGAAAACAACAATGACAACCTTGAACACTACTTATATAAATACAAATAAAGGACAGGATTACAAAAAAGAAGGCTGAGTTCAGTTGCTGCTGATTTAGAGCAATGTTTCTCAACCTTGGCAACTTGAAGATGGGTGGATTTCAACTTCCGGAATGGATAGAAGTTGCTGGGGAATTCTGAGAGTTGATGCTGTCTGGGGAATTCTGGGAATTGAAGTCCACCCATCTTAAAACGCCAAGGTTAAAAAAATACCGGTTTACTACCCCAACATTAGGGCATCTGCGGGCAGCTAGTGAGACAACAAAATGATTATTTAGCTTTTTAAGACTATATTAGAAGGAGATTTTCCCCATAAGATACCTTCAGTCCAAGGCTGGCCATGGGACCGAAGATATTTGTGCATGATAAACTTGTTAGTTTTTACGGTACACAAACCTCCAGATCATTTTTTCTTAATTGTGGCAACTGTCAACATTCTGACTATGGGCGTGGCTTATTTTGTGGGTGTGGCTTGATGGTCATGTGACAATTATTTAGGATTTAGCAGAGGTACTGGTCTACCAGGCTTTTAACTGCTTGCAGAGCTGTACCGATCTACCCATTTATTTTTGCAGGCACTGATCTACTCATGTATTTTTGCAGGCACTGGTCTACCCATTTATTTTTGCAGGCACCGGTCTACTCATTTGTTTTCTTTTAACACTGATCAGCTGTAGGGCGGCCCTTTGAAGCCCCACTGCAAGAGTTTAAACAGTTTTTTCCCCTCTAGCCGATCAGCTGGGACTCAGGAGGCAGCAATAGATTGGGGGTGGGGCCAAATAAAAGGTAAGAATAACACGGGGGTGGGTGGGGGGGCGAGGAGGGGCCAGAACCGGTTCGGTGACGTCATATTGTCACCGCTACTGGCTCAGTGGAACCAGGCCGAACCGGGAAGAACCCACCGCTGATTTTGGCACAGAAGAGGGCAAAACCAGATTTAACAAACTCTCGCGCAAACCCTCATAATTAAAGTACAGATTCTCCTTCCCCCTATTAGACCAGATCACATTGTCCAATTGAGTCTCATTGTATTGTTATGAGAAAAAGTCTTTAGCTCTGACTAACACCTGCCGAAGTGTCCTTGGTTCTCACGGCTGTCTTCTTGATGTCTGGAGCCTACATTCCATCTCCCCTTTCCTTCCCTCCTGGTTTATTGGCAAGCTGAGAAGCGATAATGGTTGCAACAGCAAAAGCGCGCTTTAAAACTTGACAGCAATTTTAAGATGTCTGGGCTCCCAGAATTCTCCCAACTAGCCTTGCTCTATTGGTCTGGAGCTTAGTGACTGCATGTTTTATTTAGCAACTTCAGAGATTCACTTAACAATCGTGGCAAAAAAAGGTTGTAAAATCAGGCATGATTCATTTAACAACTGCCTTGCTTAGCAATAGAAATTCTAGTTCCAATTGTGATTGTAAATTGTGGTTAAATTTGTAATATCAGCCAGCTGAGATTTAGTATGAACCCAGTTTTTTTGTTGTTTGGTTGTCAAAAACTACCGTATTTTTCAGAGTATAAGACGCACCGGAGTATAAGATGTAGCTTAGTTTTTAGGGAGTAAAATAGGGGGGAAGAAATCTGCCTACCAGGTATTCATCTGGTTAGCGCCCTTAGTCTGGTCAGCTTCAGCACATTAGTTTCCTGTTTTTTATCCCCTGCTTGGGGATAAAAAACAGCTTCTAAAGCACAACTCATCTTTGGAGAGAGAAGCAATGAGAAAAGCAGGCAAGCCACGGAGATTGCTTCACTTGCTAGCGCCTCATTAGGGCTGAAAAGAAGCTTCGAAAAAGCTACATTCGGAGTATAAGACGCACCCAAATTTTCAGCCTCTTTTAGGAGGGGAAAAAGTGCGTTTTATACTCCGAAAAATACGGTAAGTGCAGTGGGACCACTGCATATTTATCATATCGGCTGTATGAACAGTGGCTTCTCTTGAACCTGGATGTGTAATCAGTGTTTTGGGGTGACTTTCCCCTTCTGTTTTCTTGCTATCTGTGCCCCCGTTCTCTTTGAGCAACTGTTCAAGCTGTATTTCCTGGACTAAAATCCTCTAAAAATGACACCAATATAATGCTTTGCCTTCTGAGATGCCTTTAATTATTATTACATTATTACCATATTTATGAATAGCCTCTGTATGGATTAAAATAATTAACTGTCCTAGCATATCATTTGTGAAAAGACACAACTGTAACAAATATACATGCAGAAAGGCAGAAGTAGTCCTTGACTTACGACACATTTGGGACTGGAACGTCTGTTGCTAAGCACTGCAGTCATTAAGTGAGCTGCATTCAATTTTACAGTCATTTTGCTATGGTCATTAAGTGAATCACACGGTTGTTAAACGAATCCAGCTTCTCCCATTGACTTTGCTTGTTGGAAGCCGGCCTGGAGGTCACAAATGGCAATCGCATGATCCCACAATCGTCATATGTATTATACATGCTGGTTACCAAGCATCTGAATTGTGATCACGTGACTGCAGGGTGACTGCAGAGTTCATGTGATGATTGGTTGCATGTTTTCAGTGCTGTCATAATTTTGAACAGTTGTTAAATGAACGGTCGTAAATCGGGGACTAGTTGTATTCGGAAAGAATGTACTCTATGAAGCAAGCAAAAGAAATTTACATCTAGGCATGGCTAGAGCGGTTGGGAGTCAGGCTGCATATAGATTTAATAAATTGATTGATAGCCCTTAATTGATAAATTTGGTGTAGTGGTTAAGGCACCAAGCTATCAAGTTTGAGACTGTGAGTTCTAGTCCTGCCTCAGTCATGAAAGCCAGCTGGGTGACTTTGGGCCAATCACCAGGAGACTGTGAGTTCTAGTCCTGCCTTTAGTCATGAAAACCAGCTAGTTGACTTTTGGCCAATCACCAGGAGACTGTGAGTTCTAGTCCTGCCTTAGTCATGAAAACCAGCTAGTTGACTTTGGGCCAATCACCAGGAGACTGTGAGTTCTAGTCCTGCCTTAGTCATGAAAACCAGCTGGGTGACTTTGGGCCAATCACCAGGAGACTGTGAGTTCTAGTCCTGCCTCAGTCATGAAAACCAGCTGGGTGACTTTGGGCCAATCACCAGGAGACTGTGAGTTCTAGTCCTGCCTCAGTCATGAAAACCAGCTGGGTGACTTTGGCCAATCACCAGGAGACTGTGAGTTCTAGTCCTGCCTCAGTCATGAAAACCAGCTGTTGACTTTGGGCCAATCACCAGGAGACTGTGAGTTCTAGTCCTGCCTCAGTCATGAAAACCAGCTGGGTGACTTTGGGCCAATCACCAGGAGACTGTGAGTTCTAGTCCTACCTTAGCCATGAAAACCAGCTAGTTGACTTTGGGCCAATCACCAGGAGACTGTGAGTACTAATCCTGCCTTAGCCATGAAAGCCAGCTGGGTGACTTTGAGCCAATCACCAGGACACTATGAGTTCTAGTCCCGCTTTAGGCATGAAAGTCGGCTAAGTGACTTTGGGCCAGTCCCTCTCTCTTAGCTCAACCCACCTCACAGGGTTGTTGTGGAGAAAATAGGAGGAGGAAGATGTGTTAGATATGCTCACTACCTTGATCTTATTTATAAAAATAATAAAGGCGGGATACAAGTAAATAAAAATAGTAATAAAAAAATAAAATGGCTACTTTCTATTACCGTTGTAGAAAGAAGAGCTGCTAATGCTATTGCTGATCGCCAAGTGGCATAATATCTCACATTCAGGATTATTTTTGGATGCCTCCCTCAAGGAACAAACAAACAAACGAACCAACACCAGAGATTGATCTGATCTTTTTTTTCCCTTTCGCTGCAGACCCAGCTATCATAGCTCCCCAAGACACCACCCTCCACATTGGGGCTTCATTCACGGCCAACTGTTCCGTCACGTCCAATTCAGGGCTGAAGGCCGAGGACCTTTATTGGACCCTGAATGGCCGAAAGCTCCCAGCCGAGACCTACAAGGTCCTGGGGGCCAACACCCTCAGCGTCACCCTCACCCAGCTGAACGGATCGCGGCAGCAGTCAGGGGATAACCTGGTGTGCCACAGCAAGGAAGGCGGAAGCATCTTGGCTGGGTCGTGTCTCTATGTAGGATGTACGTTGGAGGCTTTACTGGGTGGATTTTGTACAGGGGTGGGCTTCAAAAACTTGAGCAAGGGGTTCTCTGCCTGGTTGCTGGGTGGGTGTGGCCATGGTGGGCGTGGCCTAGTCGGCCTCCTACACCATGGCGGGTGGGCATTTTTGCCCTCCCCAGGTTCTGAAGATTTTCCTTGAGCTTCTGGGAAGGCGAAAACGGCCTCCCCAGGCTCCGGAGGCATTTCTGGCCTTCCTGAACTTCCAGTAGGCCTGTTTTTCGTCCTTCCCGAGCCTCCACACGTGCCCTGCACTTACCTGCATCCAAAACGGGCCGCGTAGGGACTCCTGGGAGGGGCGGGGTGGGCGGGGCCAGCCAGAAGTGGGATTTGGGGGTTCTCCAAATTGCACAGAATCATAGCTAAAGGTTCTCCCGAACCCCTGCAAACCCCCAGCAGCCCACCCCTGATTTCGTACCCCTGCCGCCTATTCTCTGAGTCAGACCATATACAGGTAGTCCTCAATTTATGACCACAATCTCAAAGCACCTTTCGGACAAGCATGAGGTACCTGGCTGACTGAGAATCTCCACTTAATAAATGTCATAGACATTGATGACCACAATTGAACCCCAAATTTCCATTATTAAATGAGACAGTTGTTAAAGTGAGTTTTGCCTTATCTTATGATAAGTGAGGTAGTAATACCACTCTATAAAGCCCTAGTAAGACCACACCTAGAGTACTGCATCCAGTTTTGGTCACCACACTATAGAAAAAATGTTGAGACTCTAGAAAAAGTGCAGAGGAGACCAACCAGGATGATTAGGGGCAGGGGTGGGTTCTACTTACCTTTACTACCGGTTCGCAGTGGGGCCGCGCTCTCTTCTGCGCATGCACAGAAGCGTTTTGGTGACGTCGGGGTCGGTGGGCGGAGCCTCCCGCCAGTTTTACTACTGGTTCTATAGAACCGGTGCGAACCGGGGGCAGCCCATCACTGATTAGGGACCGGAGGGTAAAACATACGATGAACGGTTGCAAGAACTGGGCGTGGCTAGTCTAGTGAAGAGAAGGACCTGGGGAGACAGGATAGCTGTCTTCCAATATTTGAGGGGCTGCCACAGAGAGGAAGGGGGTCAAATTAGTTTCCAACGCAACTGAAGGCCAGAGAAGGAATAATGGATGGAAACTGACCAAGGAGAGATTCAACCTAGAATTGAGGAGGAACTTTCTGACAGACAGTTTCAACAATGGAACAGAAGTTGCCTTCAGAAGTTGTGGGAACTTCATCACTTGAGACTTTCAAGAAGAGATTGGTCTGCCATTTGTCAGAAATGGTGTAGGGTCTCCTGTTTGGGCGGGGGGTTGGACTAGATAAGGTCCCTTCCAACTCTGTTAATATAATCTAATCTAATCAAAGAGAGCTGCAGTGAAAATAGACTGGGGAAAAAAATCACAATTCGCTTTCCCTTTAGACGGTGAGCTAGAAGCCATGCTCTGTTGTGAGGCTTCTGGGCAACGTTTCGACCAGGTTAAAACTGGCTTGCTTTATTTATTTATTTACAGGTAGTCCTCGACTTACAACACTTCATTTACTGACCGTTCAAAGTTACAACGGCGCTGAAAAAAGCAACTTATGACCATTTTTCAAACTTAACAAGCTTTGCAGCAGCCTTACGATCATGTGATCAAAATGCAGGTGCTCGGCAACTGGTTCACACTTATGACCGTTGCAGTGTCCGAAGGTCACATGGTCGCCCTTTGAGATCTTTTGACAAGCAAAATCAATGGGGAAGACAGATTCACTTAACAACTGTGTGACTAACTTACCAACTGCAGTGATTCACTTAACAATTGTGGCAAGAAAGGTTTGTAAAATGGGGCAAAACTCACTTAACAAATGTTTTACTTAACAACATACATTTTGGGCTCGGTTGTGGTTGTAAATCAAGGACTACCTTTATTTAGCTAGCTAGCTAGCAGCAAATGAATGAATGAACATTTATTTATTTATTTATTTATTTATTTATTTAGCTAGCAGTGAATGAATGAATGAACATTTATATCGCCCCCCCAACTCACTTGTAGTCACTCTGTCATTCTTACAATGAAAACAAGCCATTTACAGGGCTCCCACCCATTCTGGGTTCCTCAGGCCCATTTAGCGTCTTGCCTTTTTTTGTCTTCCCAGTTTACTCACTAAACCTTAGAAGCGACACAAGAAGGTCAGAGATGGTATTCAGCAGGTTCTGACCAGTTCTGGAGAACCAGTAGCGGAAATTTTGAATAGTTTGGAGAACCGGCAAATACCACCTCTGATTGTCCCCACGCCCATCTATTCTCTGCCTCCCGAGTCCCAGCTGATTGGGAGGAAATCCCCCCTGGGAATGGAGATTTTACAGTATCTTTCCCTTGCCACACCCACCAAGCCATGCTCACCAAGGCACGCCACACCCACCAAGCCATGCCTACAGAACCGGTAGTAAAAAATTTTGAATCCCACCACTGAGAAGGTTTCTGTTCTTGAATGTTGCTCTTGAAGAGAAAAACACGCCATTTGAACCATGACAGATGTCTAAATCAATAGTCTAAATTGTTATCATCACAGGGCTATTTTTAAAGATTCGGTTTTGGAAGGATGGAAACCTCAGCTGGGAACAGGCTTGTTGTCACGCAGAGGGCAACTGCAGGCCATGGTTTAAAATTTCTCACCAGGGCCAAAAGAGAGAGAGGCGCTGCTGTTTTAAAAAGCTCTCCTTTTACTATTTCGTATCGGTTGGCATTTGTGCTTCCCAGTAAACAGCACAGTCTGTTTACCAATATATACAGGGGTGGGCTTCAAAAATTTTAGCAAGGGGTTCTCTGCCTTGTTCCTGGGTGGGCGTGGCCATGGTGGGTGTGGCCTAGTCGGCTTCCTGCACCACGGCGGGGGGGGCGTTTTTGCCTTCCCTGGGCTCCGGAGGCTTTTCTCGAGCCTCCGGGAGGGCAAAAATGGCCTCCCCAGGCTCCGGAGGTGTTTCTGGCCTTCCCGAACTTCCAGTAGGCTTGTTTTTCACCCTCCCCAAGCCTCCATGTGCGCCCCACACTTACCTGCATCCAAAACAGGCCGCATGGGGACTCCTGGGAGGGGAGGGGTGGGTGGGGCCAGCCAGGATTGGGATTTGGGGGTTCTTTGAACTGCACAGAATCTTAGCTAGAGATTCTCCCGAATCCCCAGCAGCCCACCCCTGAATATATAAAGGCAGTCCTCAACCTACAACCATCATTGGAACTAGAATTTCCCTGGTTGTTAAGTGAGCTGTGCCTGATTCTATGAGCATTTTTTGCTGTGGTTGTTAAATGAATCGCTGCAGTTCTTAAGTGAAGGTTGTTAAACAAATCCAGCTTCCTGCATTGACTTTGCTTGTCAGAAGCCAGCTAGTACACAAAAGGTGATCACATTTATTTATTTTTATTTATTTATTCATTCAATTTATATGCCACCCCTCACATCACCCCTGGGATGCTGCAACCACCATAAATAATGCCAATTGCCAAGTGCCCTAATTTTGATCACTTGACCGTGGAGATGCTATGATGGTCGTAAGTGTGAGGACTAGTTGTAAATCACTTTTTTTCAGTGCCATTGTAACTTCAAACTGTTGCTAAACTGTTGTGAATCAAAGGCTACCTGTATGTACCCGAGTATAGAGCCCTATGGATTTATTTATATCTTTCAGTGCCTCCTGAAAAGCCAACCAACATTTCTTGCTGGTCCAAGAATCTGAAAGACCTCACCTGCAGATGGGTACCTGGGTCAGAAGGCGAGACACACCTGCATACCAATTATTCCCTGAAATATAAGCTGAGGTAGGCTGATGACACAGGCACAGAAGGGGTGGTAAGTTGGTGATTTGCCAACTTATGCAGAATGTGATGGACTTTTGTAGTCTTGTTGAATTTCAGACAATTCTTCCTGGTATCAGTCAAAATAGGATTGTGATTCCTACGCTGGCTGGGGAATTCTGGGAGTTGAAGGCCACACATCTTAATGTTACCAAGGTTGAGAAGAAGAGATTTAGGGCAGGGGTTCCGGTCCATGGATGGGCACCGGGCCTTGGCATGCCAGCAACCGGGCCGCGCAAACAAGCAGTTTGGTATAGTGCTTAAGGTGCTGCCTAGAAACCAGGAAATTGTGAGTTCTAGTTGCAGCTTAGCCACAAAAACTAGCTGGGTGACCTTGTGCCAGTCATTCTCTCTCAGCCCAACATACCTCACAGGGTGGTTGTTGTGTATAAAATAGGAGAAGGAAAGAATATTAGAAATGTTTGTTTGCTTGAATTACTTATGCAGTAAAAGAAAGGTGGGGTTAAAAAAAATCTAATAAATAAAAGAAAGAACTCTTTGTTTTGCAGATGGTATGGTCGGGACAATATCTGCCAAGAATACCACACTGCCGGCCCATATTCCTGCCACATTCCCAAGGATTTAGCCCTGTTCACGCCTTATGAAATTTGGGTAGAAGCATCCAACCGACTTGGAATGGCTGTATCTGATGTGGTGATGCTGGACATTGTCGATGTTGGTAAGAAGGTCCTTGCAGTTGACCAACGAATCTTGATAGCAGCTGTTCACATTTGGTTGGCAAATCTGTTTTAAGCTCACCGTGGTCAACTATGACACTATCAGGGCTGATTCTATAAGTCTAACATGCAGGGGTGGGCTGCTGGGGGTTCGTAGGGGTTCGGGAGAACCTCTAGCTAAGATTCTGTGCAGTTTGGAGAACCCCCAAATCCCACTCCTGGCTGGCCCTTCCCACACCACTCTGCCCCACCCAGGAGTCCCCACACAGCCTGTTTTAGATACAGGTAAGTGCAGGGGGCGCGCAGAGGCTTGGGGAGGGCAAAAACTGGGCCTACCGGAAGTTCGGGAAAGCCAGAAACGGGCCTGTTTCTGGCCTCCAGAGCCTGGGGAGGCCGTTTTGGCCCTCCCTGAGGCTCGAGAAAAGCCTCCAGAGCCCAGGGAGGGCAAAAGCAGGAGGTTGATTAGGCCATGTTGACCATGGCCACGCCCACCCAGCAACTGGGCAGAGAATCCCTTGTTAAAATTTTTGAAGCCCACCTCTGCTAACATGCCCCTTGACCATTTCAAAAGTTGTGCAAAAGTTTCAGCTTTTGTAGCTTTGCATGCTACAAGTTGGTTTCCTCTGGCCAACTCAGCCCTGAGTTGTTATTACAGGTCGTCCTCAACTTACGACCACAATTGAGCCCAACATTTATGTTGTCAGGTGAAGAAATTATTAAGTGAGTTTTGTCCCATTTTATGACTTTTCTAGCCACATTTGTTAAGTGAATCACCGCGATTGTTAAATTAGTAACATGATTGTTAAGTGAATCCGGTTTCTCCATTGACTTTGCTTGTCAGAAGGTCGCAAAAGGTGTCACATGACTTCTGAACACTGCAACCGTCATAAATAATGTACATCACGTCACCGTGGGAATGCTGCAACAATCATAAGTGCAAAATACAGTTGTAAGTCACTTATTTTCAGTGCCATTGTAACTTTGAATGATCACTAAATGAACTGTTGTAAGCCGAGGACTACCTGTACTTCTGTGCCAGAAGTAAAAAAAAGAATAAAGTAAAGGAGTCCCTGCGAATTTTACTCCGCTTGTCGTTGCCGACTCTAGGGGCCGGTGCTCATCTTTGTTTCAAGGCCATTGAGCCATGGCTGTCTGAAGAACAATAACGCTGTTATTTTTCCACCATAATGGTACTTATTTATCCACTCACATTTCCATGCTTTCAAACTTATTTATTAGTCATTTTATTAGTCATATTTCTATGCCGCCCACTCTCCGAGGACTCTGGGCGGCTTACATCAAAGACAGTATACTAAATAGCATATTGCCCCCTAACAATCTGGGTCCTCATTTTACCCACCTCGGAAGGATGGAAGGCTGAGTCAACCTTAAGCCGGTGAGATTTGATCCGCTGATCTGCTGAACTAGCAGTCAGCTGAAGTAGCTGCAGTACTGCACTCTAACCACTGCGCCACCTTGGCTCAAACTGCTAGGTTGGCGGGAGCTGAGGTGAGGACGGGAGCTCAGCCCATCGCATGGCATTCAGGACTCGAACCTGGGCTGCTGGCTTTCCAACCAACAAGCCGAATGTCTTAGCCACTGAGCTTCCATGCCGCCCTTCTGTGACACAATGAGGGTGTAAATACCTTCTGATACCATATTCCCCCCAAAATAACACCTAAACGGATAATTTTTCAGGATGCTCGTAATATAAGCCCTACCCCCAAAATAAGTCCCAGTTAAGATCATCAGCCAGACAGACACATTTAGTACCATATTTCCCCGAAAATAAGACCTAACTGGAAAATAAGACCTAATGCATCTTTTGGAGCAAAAATTAAAATAAGATCCAATATATTTTTGGGGAAATACGGTAACAGTCATTATCCTTCACAGCCCCGTTGTTAGTGTCAAGCAGGAGTGGGTTCTAATTTTTTTTACTACCGGTTCTGTGGGTGTGGCTTATTTTATGGGTGTGGCTTGGAAGGTAATGTGACTGAGTGGGCGTGGCCATTTTTTTTTTTTTTACTTTTAAAGGCATTTTTTCTACAACCTTAAAAGGTTGCAGAAAAAAATGCTTTTAGAAGCCTCTGATGATCAGGCAAGTCAGCTGGGATCGCCACAGGCTTTTAAAGGCATTTTTTTCCCCTACAACCTCTTTGGCTGAAGAGGTTGTAGAAAAAATGCTTTTAAAAGCCTCTGAGATCCCAGCTGAGCCGTGCGATCATCAGAGGCTTTTTTAAAAACTTTTTTAACAAGAAAGATCATAAAATGGGACAAAATTCACTTAACAACTGTCTTTCTTAGCAACAGAAATTTGGGGCTCAGTTGTCCTAAGTCAAGTATTGCTCTGTATTCCATCAGTTTGTGGGAAGAAATGTAGATTTGGGGGTTGAGTGTGCTCTAGAAAAGGGGTCTCCAGCCTTGGCAACTTTAAGACTTGTGGACTTCAACTCTCAGAGTTCCTCAACCAAGCAAAGCTGGCTGAGGAACGCTGGGAGTTGAAGTCCACAAATCTTAAAGTTGCCAAGATTGGAGACCCCTGCTCTAGAACAGAGGATGACCTGTCTTTCAAACCTGTGGGGTGAAACAGCTTTAAATACTTTGCAGGAAAAGATATCCCTGAAATTAGAAGGGAGATGGTTGAGCCCTTAGTGCAGTGTTTCTCAACCTTCGCAACTTTAAGACCAGGAAACTTCAATTCCCAGAATTCCCCAGTCAGCCATCTTGGGCTGGTTGGGGAATTCTGGGAGTTGAAGTCCACCGGTCTTAAAGTTGTCAAGGTTGAGAAAGTGCTAGTGGCAAGAGATAAATTCTAGCCAGTCATTCTCCATAACGACAATCCCTAACACATGTTGTGACCTCACATGGGATATACTGGACTCATTTGCCGAAGTAGGAAAAGTTCAGACATACCGAGAAACAGATCTTCGACATCTCAGGAAGGAAGCAGTGAGCAGGAAATAGGTTATATGTGAGTGGAATTGCTCCTAATCTAATTAGGATCTTTCTTCTTTTTTCTTTTTTTCCTGTGCGGCATTTTGCTCCCTTCCAGACATACATTTGCTGTTTCTTAACTATTTCCCTTTCAACCTGCCCTCCAGAAGTTCAAATCTTGCTGGCATCAGCCAGCCACTAGTAGAACTGAGATGGGACAAAGCAATGATGTATACTCCTCAATTTACGACCATAAGTTGTGCTGGTTGTTAAGTGATCATCACAGAACTGACCTTTATCATCTTTTTGCAGCCATCATTAAATGAACCCATTGTTTGTAATGGATGCTTTTTGCTGGAAACTGGAAGTAAACGCTGTTTCCCAGCAAAAAACGCCATAAATTGAGATTATGTGACCTCAGGATGCTGTAAATGGCCATAAATGCAGATCAGCTAAACATCCAAAATGTGATCACGTGACTTTGGGGCGCACAGCTGTTGGAACATTGAACTGTAAATACCTTTTGAGGAGTCCGTTGTATCTTTGAACAGTCACTAAGCAAACAGTTGTTAAGCAAAGCTGACGTGAATATAGAGTCTGCATTGTTGAAAGGAGGGGGAAGTGGTACGGTGGCCTAGAGGTGGAGCTCTTGCCTCACAATCAGGAGGCTGTGAGTTCGATCCTAGGTAAGGGCAGATATTTCTCTCTCTGGGCACATTGAGAATATATCTGCTGAATATAACTCTGCATTGGCGACAGGAAAGGCACCTGGCCAGTAAACACTCGGCTCCATTCACTTGCCTAGATTCCACCCCGCAAGGGATTATGAGGTCATTAACAGAAGATGATAGGAGGAGGGGATATCATCCACATTAGACAAGGAAGACCATTCTATTTATGTTTGATTTTACATCTGTCAGGCATGAAGAATCAGGACCATACCTTAAGTTGCAATTCAGACACACACACACACACACACACACACACACACACACACACACACACTATGGTCATGTGATTACATTTTGGGTGCTTAGCAACCGGCTCACCTTTACGAATGTCTACAGAGTCCCAGGGTCACATAACTACGATTTTCTATGTTTGTTTGTTTTTTACTGATTTCTGGAATTTACTCTGTTTACAGCAAAACAAAATCACTCGTGCAGGCAACCTAAATAGGAGATTACTAGCATGGCTGAAAGATGCATTTTGCTGTGCTTGCCTCCAGTTCTTTTTAAGTCTTAATCTTTGATTTTAAGTATTGACTGACTTGTCCTCACTTGTCCCTGTTCGACAGTCACAACCGATCCACCCTCGGATGTCCACGTGAGCCGAGTGGGAGACCTGGAGGACCAGCTCAGCGTGAGGTGGAGTGCGCCTCCGCTCTTAAGGATTTTCTCTTCCAAGCCAAATATCAGATCCAGTACCGGGTTGAGGACAGTTCAGAATGGAAGGTGAGCCTCCTTAACAGGGTGTGAAATTTATTCTGCACCAGGACAACCATCAGCCGGAGTAATCAGGAACTGCAGCATGGTGGGGCTGCTTCCACATGGACATGTGGTCTAATTTTGGGCCCTTGGAGACTCACAGGTAGTCCTCAAGTTAGTACAGGTACTCCTTGACTTACAACCATTTGTTTAGCAACTATCCGAAGTTATAACTGCACTGAAAAAAGTGACTTTTTCACACTTACGACTGCTGCAGCATCCCCATGGTCACATGATCAAAATTTGGGTGCTTGGCAACTGATTCATATTTATGAATGTCGCAGTTTCCCCAGGTCACGTGATCACCTTTTGCGACCTTCTGACAAGCAAAGTCAATGAGGAAGTCAGATTCACTTAACAACCATGATGTTACTGACTAACTGCGGTGGTTCACGTAACATCTGTGGCAAGAAAGGTTGTAAAATGGGGCAAAGCTGACTTAACAAAGTCTCATTTAGCACGAAAAATTTGGGGCTCAGTTGTGATCCTAAGTGAAAGGCTATCTGTACCACAATTGGGAGCAGAATTCGTGAATAACTGCATTGTTAAGCAAGACAGTTTGGTAAGTGAGTCATGCTCTATTTTATGACTCTTTTGCCACAGTTGTTAAGTGAATCACTTCAGTTGTTAAGTGAATCATGTAGTTGTTAAGCAAATGTAGCTTCCCGTTAACTTTGCTTGTTGAAGTTAGCTGGGAAGGTCACAAATGGTGAGCACATGACCCCGGGATGTAGTAACATCATAAATACATGCCAATATTGATGATGTGGGCTAAGCGGCCATATTTGGATCACGTGACTATAGGGATGCTGCAACGGTCATAAGTGCAAGGGCTGGTCAAGAAAAGCTGAAGAAAAAGAAAAAAGAAAGACAAAAGATACAAAATATTCTTCACAGCTGCTATAAATACAGATGAAGCTCTAACTTATATTTGAAGTTTAAATAACGAACATTTCAGAGCCAACTCGTTTTCCTTCAGAAGTGCGTGTTAAAAGTGTGTGTTTCAGCTGACTGATTATTCTGCCCTTAGGCCGTCTACCTTGGTACATTTTATGGGTTGAGCTCCTACTGTTCAAAGTAAGTGTGACTAGACTTAATACAGCTTATTGGAAAGTACTGAGGTAAAGACTGAAGGCATGTCCCCTAAAATGGCTGATGGATTTTTAGTTTTTAATAAGAATATTAGGAAAATAATCAACAGAGTGTGTGTCTTAATTGCAGAGAGCAAGAGAGTGCCAATGCAACATAGTTTATAGAATTTATTTTATTTTATTTAAGAACATTTATAATGCACCTAACCCACTCTCAGTGACTCTGGAGGGCTTACAAAATAAAAACCCAATATAAAAAAAAAAATAAAAAAGCAATAGAATAGAATAGAATAGAATAGAATAGAATAGAATAGAATAGAATAGAATAGAATAGAATAACAGAGTTGGAAGGGACTTGGAGGTCTTCTAGTCCAACCCCCTGCTTAGGCAGGAAACCCTACACCACTTCAGACAAATGGTTAGCCAACATCTTCCAGTGTTGGAGCATTCACAACTTCTGCAGGCAAGTTGTTCCACTTATTAATTGTTCTAACTGTCAGGAAATTTCTCCTTAGTTCTAAGTTGCTTCTCTCCTTGATTAGTTTCCACCCATTGCTTCTTGTCCTGCTCTCAGGTCTTTGGAGAATAGTTTGACTCCCTCTTCTTTGTGGCAGCCCCTGAGATATTGGAACATTGCTATCATGTCTCCCCTAGTCCTTCTTTTCATTCAACTAGACATACCCAGTTCCTGCAACCGTTCTTCATATGTTTTAGCCTCCAGTCCCCTAATCATCTTGGTTGCTCTTCTCTGCACTCTTTCTAGAGTTTCAATATCTAACAGTATTTCATCTCAACATTAAACCCCCATCTTCCTGGCAACAACAAACAAATAAGCCACTTATGGGCTCCATCTCACTCTGGCGTCCCCAGGCTCGCTGGCAAGCCCAGGTCTTCAGGATCTTGTGAAAGAGTGTCAAAATGGGGTCCAATCGTATCTCAACAGAGATGATATTCCATAGGGACTGGAGCCACCACAGAGAAGGCCCTTCTTCTTGGTCCCGCTAGATGGACCTCCTTAAGAGAAGGGGCATGAATTCCTTAAATCACAGCAAAAACAGGAATTGGATTTGGGAGATAGGGACTTGGTAGGGAGTCTAGGGATGGGTATCAAAAAATTAAACATGGAGAATAACTGATTGAGGTCCCATCTCTTTTCTACAAGTGTGAGAAGTGTGTAAATTACCTTTGTCAGCAAAATCTGCTTGTCCAATATAGTTTTCCTTGCTTTAAATTCCCATCCTGTACAGGATCTGATTGCCCATTTTTATTTTTAAAATGATTTTGCTAGAGATTTGAAAAATAACCATGTTAAAAGAGCTAAGTTTAGGCTATTGATCTGTTTTGTTTACATGAGTATTTATTTCCTGGCATTTAATAAACAAATAGTCGAAGAAAAATAAAAGCACATTACAGAAAGAGAGCTAATTGGAAACATACAATGGAAACAATACAGTAATTACAAGAAAAATGTAGAACTGGGATTAGTGCATAAACTGCTTTTGAAAACAGTAAACTGTTTTACAATATTCCGCCCCACCCCCAAAAAAGCTCAAGTTAGAGTGGATAAAGTCATATATTGGCTTCTAATCTTCCAACAGGCCTTTAGTTAAAGTTTCTATGTTCCCCAGCTGTATAGCAATTTGGCCTAAAGATTAAGGAAAAGGGGAGGAGGCCTGGAAAGGAAAATTATTGCCGATCTGAGCAGATGTGACATATTCACTTGTACTCAGATTAAAATTGAGGAAGAGCATCCCAAAGTCCGTGAAAATTGAGAAGATAACAAGGGGGGGGGGATTTCTAGTGAAATATCAGCTTCACAAGGAAATAAACAAAAATAAAATGTGGTTTTGTAAAAAAAAAAAAAAAAAATCCATAAAAACCAGATCTTTAAAAAAATTGCTTATGAGCCAAACATCCTGCCCCAAGGGGATACTTTTATTTAAACAAAGCTCTGGGATCCGTTTCAGAACTGGAAGGAGGGAGATATTAAAAGCAAAAAAGATTTTTGGTCAGACAGATCGCAATGCTGTAACCATGAGGGATCAAAAAATCTTCAAAAGGTTTTTTTAACATCTAAAATCCCAGTGAAGTGATCAAGTGGGTTCTGGAATTTAGATCAAATCCCCATCAAATTCAGCAACTGCTCTAAAATTGTATGCTTAAATTACTTTTATGGGTAATAAGTAAGCACTGGAAACCAGTTTTCCATTGTTCTTAAAAATTGGCATTTTTCAAGTCCCAGACTTGAAAAGCAGACTGAATGTATTCTTTCCACTAAATCAGTGTTTCTCAACCTTGGAAGCTTGAAGATGGGTGGACTTCAACTCCTAGAGTCCCCTAGCCAGCGCTGCTGGCTGGGGGATTCTGGGAGATGAAGTCCACCCATCTTCAAGCTACCAAGGTTGAGAAACATTGCACTAAATCATAATGCAGGTAATCCTTAATTTACGACCAAAAGGGGGTCCACAATTTTGGTCGTAAGTCGTGACGGTTCTAAAACGAGTCCCCACATAACCAGACCTGATTTTACAATCTTTTTTTGCTGCAGTTGTTAGGTGTATACTGCAATCATTAAGTGAATAGTTAATAGTTCCTTATGGGCTGCTTGTACCAAAAATTGGAAGTAAATGCCAGTCTTTGATAAAAACATTATAAATCATGATAACATGACTGCAGACCATTGCAAATGACCCTGAATGCAGGTGCCCAAAATGCAGTTATGTGACTGCCTGGATGTTGGAACTTCAAATCTGGATTTTTCAGGATCTGTCATAACTTCGAACAGTTGCTAAGCGACTGGTCGTAACTTGAGGCCTACCTATGTTTGACTTGGCCTTTATTGTACAAACTCTCCATTGTGATTTGTCAAAGTTGGCTAAAACAAACCCTGTCTTAATGCAGTTTTTCTCAACCCTTGCCAGTTTTAAAATGCCTGGTCTTGAGTAACTCCCAGAATTCCCAGCCAGCCATGCCAAGCTGGGGAATTCTGGACGTTGAAGTCCACACGCCTTAAAGTTGCCAAGGTAGAGAAACAGTGCAAAATCTCTCTCAGTTATGTTCTTTGTATTTTTTCTTTCATCTTTTATATTTCTTTCATCTCTTTTTATAGCTGGACGTTTTACAGTTTTAGTCATATTTCAGACTTCTGACAGATGTTCGTCCTCAAGAAAAACAGGCCCCCTTTACAAGCCACGTTGTGACGGCTTCTCCCTGATCAAAGTTTTCTCCTCCCTTCAGATCCAATCCACCTTTAAGTGCAAAAAGGTTAAGAATCATAAAAGCTGTTTGGTGTTTCTAGATGCCCTAAAACTCTCAAAACGTTTTTCAAAAATCTGAGTGTCTATATTTATATTCTAGGCATGAGAGAACATGCCCTCTTCTGCATCAGTGAAAGTTTCCCATTTATAATTTAATTAATTAATTAATTAATTAATTATATAATAAAAGTATCAAACTATTAAACAAAAGATAAGAAAAAATAAGATATTTTCTTACGGAAAATATTTTCTTAAAATAAGAAAAAAATTAAGCAAAAGGAAAGAAACAGAAAAAAGTAGTAAAATATTAGGACGTCCACCCTCCTTTCTATCCAGTAACCATCTTATTCTTTCCTCTTTTTTCCCTCTCTTACTTTGTACTTCCCTTCCCCTTCCCTTTTAACCAATGGTGAAATCCTCCTCAATTTATCACCGGTTTGCTACCCGCACATGCACAAATGTGTGCTGTGTGCATGCATGCGCAGTGCGCACCAAACACACACTGTGCATGCACAGTGCACGCCAAACACACACTGTGCATGCATGCATAGTGCGCCAAACACACACTGCACGCGGAAAAAGGCTTAAGAAAGTAAGTAGAACAGCGAGGGAAGGAACAGCTGTGCCGCGCGATTAAGAATATAAATCACGTGGCACAGATGATCGTCGGAAATACCAGTTCAGATGAACTGGCGGCTTTTTTAAATTACCAGTTTGCCTGAACCAGTAGTTTTTATTACTACCGGTACGCCTGAACCGGTGCGAACCGGTAGCATTTCACCCCTTCCCTTTTAACCCTTTTGTAACTCCCAAATTCATAAATCATCCATTCAGCCTTTTCTCCTCTCAATGAAAAATCTTAGAACATTTCTAATCGTTTTTTTAAAAAAAAAAAAAGCATTTATCATTTTTTCCCTGACCTCGAGAATTGTCTATTTCTATACGACTACATCCAAAGCTTGCATTTTGGTGGATGGAAGAACCAGGTCTCTCTTAAAAACTGAATTTTCCCTTTCTCTTGATAGGTTGTCGACAATGTTAGCAACCAGACATCATGCCGGCTGGCAGGCCTAAGGCCCGGGACGGTATATTTCGTCCAAGTCCGCTGCAATCCTGTCGGTATCTATGGTTCAAAGAAAGCCGGCATTTGGAGTGATTGGAGCAACCCAACGGCGGCCTCCACGCCTCGGAATGGTGAATAGGACCAGTTTTCCATCCTTACCTTTTGGCAAAGTGGGAGGGGGTGGTGGTGTTTTCTAAGCAGCCTAGAACCCAAAGGTGCTTTTTCAAGGGGCAACTGGACTTCCTGTTTTTTCCTTTGAAGATGTTTCACTTCTCATCCAAGAAGCTTCTTCAGCTCTGACTGGATGGTGGGGAATGGAAGGATTTATATTCCTTGCAGACAGCTGGTCATTTGCATCCTTTTAGAGAGTCATTGAGGCCACCTGGAGGTTTACCTGAGTAGTGCAAATGGGTGTGGAGCCTTCTTGGAACTGTTGAAAGGGCTGTGTTGTAGTTTGGAGATAGATGATGTCGTATTCTTCCCCCACTGTTGGGAGAGGGCTGTTCAGTTTTGACATAGATGGTCTCCTTGACTCCTCTTCCAAGCCAGAGGTCTTCTCTGTCCAAAATGTAGGCTTTGCTGTCTTCAGAAAAGTGGCCTTTGTTTTTTAAATGCAGATGGACTGCTGAATCTTGTCGTGATGGGTTTGTTCTCCTACATTGTGCCATGCGTTTAGGAAAAAAAAAACCAGAAAGTCCAGCTGCCTCTTGAAAATGCACCTTTGGGACAACCATGACATGAATGACTGAGAATCTCCATAGACAAACAGCCTAGAACGAAGAACAAATTGCCTGACAGTGAGAACAATTAATCAGTAGAATGGCATGTCTTCAGAAGTTGTGGTTGCTCCATCACTGGAGGTTTTTAAGAAGAGATTGGGCAGCCGTTTGCCTGAAATGATATAGGTTCTCCTGCTTGAGTAGTGGGCTGGACTAGAAGACCTCCAAGGTCCCTTCCAACTCTATTCTGACAAAAGTACAGTGGAACAATATGTTCCTCCAGCTAAAGAACAATGATGACAATCAACCCCAACAGTCCACTGCAGGTTATAAACCACAACGTAGCACCATAATGGCGAACCTTTTCAGGTGCCAAAACTGGAACGTGCATGCATGTGCGTGCATGTGCACGCGCCGGAGCACCGGAAACCTGAAGAGCAGCTGGCTGGTGCACGCATGCCTGTTTTTTGGGCTGTTTTCAGGCCATTTTCCGGGGCGTTTTCAGGCCATTTTCCGGGCTGTTTTCTGGGCCACTTCAGGCTATTTTTCAGACCATTTTTCGGGCCGTTTTCAGGCTGTTTTCATGCAGTTTTTGGGCCATTTTTGAGCCAAAAATGGCCCGAAAAATGACCTGGAAATGGCCCAGAAAACAGCCCAAAAAAGGCCCAGAAACAGCCCAAAAATGCCCTGAATATGGCCCGAAATCAGCCTGAAAACGGCCCGAAAAATGGCCTGGAAACGACCTGGAAAACGGCCTGGTTTTTGGCCATTTTCATGCCATTTTCTGGCACCGCTCCGGCACCCACGAAGAACAGCTGGCCGGTGCGCATGGAAACGAGAAGAGCAGCTGGCAACTGTGCGTGTGCCCACAGAGAGGGCTCTGCGTGCCACCTCTGGCACGTGTGCCATAGGTTCGCCATCACAGGCCTAGCACATTATTTCAATGCAGATTGATAGATGGACATTTTGGGGGGGGGGAATCTCCAGCCTAGGGCTGGGAGAAAGGTAAACAGTAAAGTAAAGGGAGAAAGGACCCAGCTGGATTCTGTAACTGAGAGGGAACCTGCTTTATTTTAGCACCTTCACATCTGAACCGCAGTGGTTTTTGGGGCTGAAATTACCTCAAAGCTACCTGAAGAGCTTCTGTAGCTGAACAGGGATGGAAACTAGGTCTTCCTGTTCTGTTATTCTGTTTTACTAGCTAGCGTTCTGGTCACCATGGGGAGCATCGGAAATTCCCTAAGTCCATGATGGCGAACCTATGGCACGCGTGCCACAGGTGACACGCGTAGCCATATCAGTGGGCACCCCAGCTCAGCTCTGGCACCGGCCAGCTGATTTTCAGGCCTTCTGGGCCCACCAAAAGTAGGGAAACAGGCTGTTTCCTGCCTCCGGCTCCAGATCCTCTCTATGCATCTGGGGAGGGCGAAAACAGCCTTCCCCACCCCCTCGGAGGCCCTCCGGAGGCCTGAAAATGCCTGTTTCCCAACTTCCAGTTGGACAGGAAGTGATTTTTTTGCTGTCCCCAGCCTCCAGAGACTCCTAGAGAGGAGGTGGGGAAGTCTGTTTTCACCCTCCCCAGACACATAGCGAGGATCTGGAGCCAGGTGAGAAAGAAAAACGGGCCTACCGGGCCATCATGTGCCAGGAGCAGGGGGGAGGGAGGTCACACGTGCATGCGTGGGGCGCATAGAATTATGTGTGTAGGCACACGTGCGGGCGAACCTCCCCCACCCCTCCCTTCCTGGCACGCGATGGCAAAAAGGTTAGCCATCACTGCCCTAAGTGAAGCTCCTGCTCCTGTGCCAGGTGCTTGTTTTCTTGGCTTTCTCTTGGTGGCCTTCTTGGGCACCTTCCAGCTTGAAGCTCAAGAGCACCTGTCAGGTTCCTCTTCCAGGAAATCTTGAGCAGACATCCTGAGAATCCAATTCTGTGTCAGTAGAAGATTTGGGCTTCTAAACCAAGAGACTTGGAAGAAATTTGGGACTTGCGGTTGCCCTGCACCTGGGTTTCTTGTTCCAAAGCCAGCTGAGATGTCTACAAAAGACTTGGACCTCAAATACTGCCCCGACTCCTCCATTCTTCCCAAGCCTTCACACATAACATTCGTCTGCTCTCCTCCTGTCTTTTAGGATACCTGATGGCGCGGGAGGACAGGAAGGAAGGAGCGAGGGAGGATCGGCTAGTTTTCCTGAAGAGAACATATTACTTAATTCCCCCATGTTCATCAAATTTATCTCTGTCTGGATGATTTAGATACTAAGGATGGGTTGAGGATAAATTGTGCGTGCTGAAGAATAAGTGAGATGATTTCAGGAGGATGTTGGGGAGATAAATGAAAGCAGGCAATCTTTTTTTTTTTACAAAAGAATATACGGGAATGAAGTAGGCAAAGTACAGGTGGATTTTCTCCTTGTGAAAAAAAATAGTTGAGCTTCTAAGGTTGCCCATATATATATATATATATTTGCTAAGTTTTATTTTGATACCATTATACTTGGTTTGACCTTGGGAAGTGAAGTGGCTTGCAAACAATGGTTTAAAACGGCCTTTTCATATACGACACACTAGATCAGAGTTTCTCAACTTTGGCGACTTTAAGATGTGTGGACTTCAACTTCCAGAATTCCCCAGCCAGCAAAGTTGGCTGAGGAATTCTGGGAGTTGAAGTCCACACGTCTTAAAGTTGCCAAGGTTGGAGACCCCTGCTCTAGACTACATGCCGGTATGCCTGGCACCTTTCAAAGGCACCTGTGTAGCATCTGGAAGCAGCTGTACAGTTGGATGTTTAGATCCAGCTGGGCTGCTCTTATGGGGTTTATTTAGTTATTTATTAAATGTGTGTAGCTTCGTACATCAATTTACTCCTAGTAATTGTGCTATTCTTCCTGCATAGCAGCACTCTTCTGCAAATTGATTACAATTGATTGATACTGCTGGGGCAGAGAACGTGAGTAGGTTGATAAGCTGGTTTAATACCTTTTCTGTAGGCTTCATAGAGGCATCTGATTGGTTGTTGCAGGAAATGGAAAGGAAGCTGGGCTAAATAAACCTTTTGTGCTAAATATATCTTTTTTTGATCCAGCGGAACCCTCTTCTTCTCCTCTTCTCTGCTTCGTCTCATCCTCATCTTCTCCTTCTCTGCTTCCCTTCCTTTTTCTTTGCTTCATTTTCTTTCCTTCTTTTTTCTCTTCTTCCTTTTCCCTTCTTCCCATCCTCTCATTTTTCTTCCCTTCTTCCACTCCTCCTTCTCTTCCTCTCCTTCCTCTCCTCTTCTTCTCTGCTTCCTCTCCTCATCTTCTCCTTCTCTGCTTCCTTTTTCTTTGCTTCATTTTCTCCTTTTTTTAATTTTTTCTCCTCTTCTTCCTTTCCCCTCTTCTTCCCATCCTCTCATTTTTCTTCTCTTCTTCCTCTCCTTTTTCTTCTTCTCTTCTTCTTCCTCTCCTCCTCTTCACCTCTTCTTCTTCCTCTCCTCCTTCTCCTCTAGCATTCAAAGGTTAAGAGTTTTGTGATTTTTTCCCCCTCCCTGGCTTAATATCCCTTGTCAACCTTCACTTCCTCTCTTTCAGGACGGACTCCGGGAGTTTGCGAACCCAAAAACGGAGAACATAACAACACGCTACGCCGAGAGCTCAAGCAGTTCTTTGGATGGATGCGCAAACATGGGACTTGTGCCAATTTGAGCATCAAAATGTATGATCAGTGGCGGGTGGCACTGCAGAAGTCCCACAAAACACGCAACCAGGTAGAAAAGGACACCTGAGTTTTCAATGAAAAGCAAGGAGAATCATCTGGTCTGTACAAGGATGGGTGTAGAGCCACTCACTGACTCCATTTTTTTTCCAAGGTTTATTGGGTTTTTATTTTTAAACATATACCCTATTTCCCCGAAAATAGGGCCCACCCGGAAAATAAATCCTAGCATGATTTTTCAGGATGCTCATAATATAAGCCCTACCTCCGAAATAAGCCCCAGTTAAGGTGGTCAGCCAGATGGAGGCATTTAGTATCGTATTTCCCCCAAAATAAGACCTAACCAGAAAATAAGCCCTACTGCATCTTTTGGAGCAAAAATTAATATAAGACCCGGTCTTATTTTCGGGGAAATATGGTATCAACATCAATACATGAACAGTGTGGCCTCTGGGTATAATTCATGTTATTACAAATAACAACATATTGTTACATTAATCAAACTTATATAATCCTAATATTAATGTACTTGATTATTTTAAAGTAGTTATTCAATATTTCAACGTTCCATTCTAATGTCAATGATCTTCAACATACGTAGTAATATCATCTTTCAACATCTCATCTTTCCATCTAATTATTACTTATTTTCAATTTATATAGAAATTATCACTACTGATATTCCCCCTAATTCTTATTTCTACCTCTATTCTGGCTTCTAGTCAAGTCACTCTTACTAATCCTAATGTTAAGACACATATTTATGTTAATACATAGTCCTATATATTCTTATTTCTATCTCTATTTCTAGTTTTTAATCAGGCCATCATTATATTAGAAAAAAAAAGAAAGAAAAAAAGTGGGGGAAATAGCTCTATTCTATCCATCATCCCTTGCCCGTTTTAATACTTCAATTCTTATTCATTTTTTGGCTTTCCTCCCATACTCTTGGATCCCATACGCCCATACTCTTGGATCTGTCTCCAAATGTTGACTTACCTATTCACAATTATAAATGGATTTTTCTTTTTAATTTTGGATGAGGCAAAATTGAGTTGACTCGGCTGGCTAGTGAAAATTATTGAGGACTAGAACCTTATAGGTAAATAGAGACTTTAGCTCACATTAAAAAGAGGGCAATACTCAAACTGTAGGCAAAACTTGACCTTACAGCCTCAAAATCTATCCTTTTTCATTTGCAAACCCTGATTCAGTATTCAGGAGACAGCTTGGTAAAAAGGCATTTTCAAATTCTTTAATTATCAATAAAAAGATCCACTGGTTTCTATATTATTATATTAGACTCTTATCCCGGTGAACTACACCTAATACAGTTAGTCCTCGACTTATGACCACATCTGAACCCAAAATTTCTGTCGCTAAGCAAGACAGAGGTTAAGTGACTTTTGCTTCGCTTTATGACCTTTCTTGCCACAGCTATTAACTGAGTCACTGCAGTTGTTAAGTTAGTAACACAACTTTTAAGTGAATCTGCCTTCCACATTGACTTTCCTTATCAGTAGGCCGCAAAATATGATCACATGACCCCAGGACAGTACAACTGTCATAAATATGAACCAATTGCCAAACGGCCGAATTTTGATCACTTGACCATGGGGGAGCTGCAACAGTTGTAAGTGTGAAAAAATGGTCAAAAGTCACTTTTTTTCAGTGCCATTGTAACTTTGGTCATTAAATGAATGGTTGTAAGTCAAGGACTACCTATACTCCTATTTTCCCCAGCATGACAGTCCTGTGGTGTGGGTTGGGCTGAGAGGTAGGGACAGGCCCAAGAGTCACCAAAAGGGGAGGGGAGGATATGAAAACCAGAGCCTTGGTAGTACAGTGGTTTAATGCACCCTGTTATTAACACAGCTGCCTGCAATTTCTGCAGGTTCGAATCTTACCAGGCTCAAGGTTGACTCAGCCTTCCATCCTTTCTAAGGTAGGTTAAATGAGGACCCAGTTTGTGGGGGCAATAAACTGACTTTGTATAAATATACAAAAGTATGAAGGCTATTGCTTAACGCATTGTAAGCCGCCCTGAGTCTCCGGAGAAGGGCGGCATATAAATCAAATTTTAAAAAAAATTGTTTGTGACTGTCTCATAAAATAGAATAGACTAAAATAATAATACTAGAATAAAGACTAGACTAGACTAGAATGGGGAATAGAATAGAATAGAATAGAATAGAATAGAATAGAATAGAATAGAATAGAATAGAATAGAATAGAATAGGAAATAGAAAGGAAATAGAAAAGAACAGAACAGAACAGAATGTAGAATAGAATAGAATCAAATCAAATCAAATCAAATCTGGAAGGTACCTTGGAGGTCTTCTAGTCCAGCCCTCTGTTCAGGCAGGGAAACCTGTCCTATATCATTTCAGATAAGCGACTGTCTAGTCTCTTATAGAAGTGGGTAGTCTACAAATAATTGTGCAAATAAATAGGGATGAAGATTCGTCAATTGGGGAAGGGGGTGGAATGTTATGGAGCCACTGCTGGCCGTATCTGGTTTTAACCCTCTCTTTCCTCACCAGGTCCTGTCCAGTGACAAACTGTAGCTTTGATGGATGGTGGAACCAGGACGTTCACTTAAGCGCCAGCCTGGTTGCTGGATTCAGGCCTGCCAAGGATGCACACCAAGGAACTCAAGAGCAGCCATAATCCAGGTGCCTCGAGCGGCATTGCCAAGGTGGCTTCAACCATCACTAACACCCTTTCTGCAAACTAGCTAGAGGCTGGGAAGAAGTCAGCGCCTCTTCGCCCAGAGTAACTCTAAACCAGCTTCTCACATATGATGTTTTTCAGCTGAGTTGAACATTTGAGTTTTCTAATTAGTATATAAAGGAGTTCTCCCTAGTTGAAGGACGTTTTGCCCAGGGAAAGAGCTCTTCGTGCCAGCTTTTTTTTTTTTTTTTAACAGCGCCAAGATTAAAAAAATCTGAAATCTATCCATCTATCCTCTTAAGCACGCCATAAAGAGGTTTCGTTGCTTCAGGATAGTCGTTTTCTTCTCATACTCCTCCGTTATGAAATTGGAATCGGCAGCTGATTGAAAAGCGGAAACGGCTAAAGGAACGAGCTGGGTAATCAGGAAGAAACAGGTTTACATTTAACCTCCAAATTCTCCCAAAGGGAAGAACGGCAGAATTGGTTGTGAAATTTCACAGATTTTTTTATTCCTTTTTTTTGTGTGTGTGCGCGCTCTGTTGTTAAAAAATATCAGGTGTTCAATACCTGTTTTATGTCCGAAGCTGTGATTTAGGCTGTTTTTTTTTTTTCCTCTCTGCAAATCTGGGAGGTTTTGCACCCAGAGCCCAACCCATCTTTTGAACTGACGTCACCTGCCTCGCCTTTTAATTGGGCTAAACCAGTATGTTTGTTTCCCAACAGCATTAAAGGCAAAAAAGTTGGGGGCAAAGACCACGATCCCATTATTTGTGGCTTTCTGCAGTTATTCAAAGTTAATAACTGACCATGGATGCTCCATTTAGCTCACATAACTAAGAAAGGCAAGCTGAGTGGTGTGGTGGCCTAGAGGGTGGAGCTCTCGCCTCACAATCTGGAGGCTGTGAGTTCGATCCTAGGTAGAGGCAGATATTTCTCTCCCTGGGCACAATAAGAATATATCTGAACAAAACTCCGCATTGGCAACAGGAAGGGCATCCGGCCAGTAAACACTCGGCTCCCATTCAGTTGCCAGACTTCACCCCGCAAGGGATTAGGGCCGTGATAGCGAACCTATGGCACGCGTGCCAAAGGTGGCACGCAGAGCCATATCTGTGGGCACCTGAGCATTGCCCTAGGTCAGCTCCAGCGTGCATGCGCGCACCGGCCAGCTGATGTTTGGGCCTTCTGGGCCCACCGGAAGTTGGGAAATTGGCTGTTTCCAGCCTCCAGAGGGCTTTCAGGGGGGTGGGGAAAGCTGTTTTTGCCCTCCCCAGGCTCCAAAAAAGCCTCTGGAGCCTGGGGAGGGTGAAAAACGGGCCTACCAGGCCCACCGGTAACCTTTTTGCTGCCGTGTGCCAAAAGCGGGGGAAGCACGGGGGGTGGGGTCGTGCACACATGCAAAGGGGGGGCGGGGCGTGGGTGGCATTGAATTATGGATGTGGGCACACACATGCGTGACCCCCCCCTGCACTCCCCCCGCTTTTGGCACACAACGGCGAAAAGGTTAACCATCACTGGATTAGGGGGTCATTAAAAGAAGATGAACTAAGAAAGGCAAGCTATGGCCTCTCTCGTTTTTATGGCATTTATAAAAGACCAGCCTCCCCAATTTCCCTTGTTGTTTACGAATACTGCCATTTTCAACCAACATGGCCCTGGTGGTAGAGGATGGAGTTTGTACAAGTAGTCCTTGACTTGCAACAGTTCACTTAATGACCATTCGAAGTTACAACAGCATGGAAAAAAAGCGACTTATGACTGTTTTTCCACACTTACAACCTGTGGTCATGTGATCAAAATTTAGACGCTTGGCAACTGGCATGTACATATGACAGTTGCAGTGTCCTGGGTATTGTGATCCCCGTTTGCAAACTTCTGACAAGCAAGTCAATGGAAAGCCAGATTCATTGAACAACTGTGTTACTAACAAGTGATTCACTTGACAATTGCGGCCAGAAAAGTCATAAAATGGGGTAAAACTCACTTAACAACTGTCTCATTAGCAAGAGAAAGTTTGGGTTCAATCGTGGTTGTAAGTCAAGTAGTACCTGTACAGGTAGTCCTCGATTTACAACAGTTCATTTAGTGACCGTTTAACGTTACACTGAAAAAAGGAACATGACCCATTTTTTTCACATTGACAGCCATTGCAGCATCCTTTCGATCATGTGATCAAAATTCGGACGCTTGGCAACTGGTTCATATTTACGACCGTTGCAGTGTCACGTGATCCCCTTTTGCGACCTTTTTGACGAGCAAAATCAACACTTAACAACCAAGTTACTAATTTGATCAACTGCAGTGATTCACTTAACAACTGGGGCAAGAAAGGCCGTTAAAACGGGGGGGGGGGGAAACTCACAAGCAATGGCTCACTTAACAACAGAAATGTTGGGCTCAATTGTGGTCATAAATCGAGGACTATTTATAAGTCAGTAACTTGGAAAGCCCTGTGCTGGGGACATAGCTGGGACTAGCCATGACAGTTTAGGATTACAATCCAGAATTGGGGAGTGAGGGACCGATTGGCAGGCAGGGTGAGCATCCAAATAAACGCTAAATGTTAAAAATACCCCTGTGCTTCCATCCTCCAAACCCAATTTTCTTTAATCCCTTGTAAAGAGAGATTCAGTTTTCGGTCCAGGAGAAAAGGTAGTATAATGAAAGATGAGGTTTGCAAATACAGACCCTGGGCGCTGCCATTTTGACTTTTTTGCCCTCCTCCCTCCCAATGGATGCCCATCTGGAGCTAATTGTGCCAGACGACGTCTGGTCCGCTCAAGATAATAAAAAGAGAGACGAGTAAAAAAAAAAGGAGTCTGTTTTCTTTAATTGAAGGGATTAAAAAAAACCCAAACCACTTTATTTCAGAACATAAACAAGCTATTTTCCCCCACTCCTCGTCCTATAAAGGCAATTGAGACCAAGTGCCAAGAAACCATCCTGAGAACTGGCTCCGTTGGGCAGGTGGCCAAGAAGCATCGAGCCATGCGCCTCTTGCACCATCTCGCCTGCGGGCATCGGCCTGGCATGATGAAAGAAGAAAGCCGGGGTGGGCGAGCTGCATGCGAACGAGGACCAACTTTAGCCCGGGGTGGGGGGAGCTCTTACGTCCCTGGCTCTCCCCCTTCTCCATCCATCCCCGGCCTTTCTTCATCCTTCTCCCACGGGACGGCCTGTCAACTGCTTTCTTCCGAATCGTACTTGAAATCCTGAAGAATTTCGCTGATTGCTTCGATGGTTTGAATTAGCCTGCGTGAGCCGGATGGAAACGATAAATAAAGTGCCATATGGAGCCGATTAGCCGCGCTCACCCGCGCCCCTCACAGCCCGGCCTTGTTTATGAAAGCCTACGAGAGGGGCAACCCCAAGGGCCGGGATGGGCTGGCTGGGGGGGGTGGGGCGGCGGGGGGGGAAGGTTAGGCTTCAAAGAGCCAACATGGAACAATCTGTAAAAATGGGGGCTCAGCGGAGGGTGGGGGGGATAGAATACGGCCTTTGAAGACCCTTGCCGAGGCCTTTTTGAGACCAAAAAAAAAAAAGAGGGAAAAATATTCCCACATCCTCGCTTCAAATTGGCTTGGGTGATTTGCGAGAGGACAAGGCCCCGTTTTGGGGTAAAATCGTGATTTTGGCGTTCTCATAAGGGGGTCTCTTTCCCAAGGGGGCCTCTGCTTTGAGAGCAGGGAGTTTCCCACGATGCCGTGCGCCGCTAAGCATTGTGGGAAATTCAGATGCTCGGATGCTTTGAAAGTCCCAGTGATGGGACTCGGTTTCCTTTCTTCCCAAGTATGGAAAGTGGGTGCAAGAGGCACGGACGGTTCTTCTGTGGGGGGGGAAGGATGAGGGGAGGGCATGAAAATGGCCTTCATGCAAAAGGGACCCAGACCGTATCACAAATCAAATGGTGCGTTTTGGAACCGTTGCTCGGTTTACCAATTCTCCCTAAAGCCAAACTGCATCTTAATGCAGCACTTCCTCCATGTATCACAATGCAGGCATTGTGTTCACACAACCAGCTTACCCAATTCAAGGAAAGCTCAAGGCAGCTGCTTGATAACTAGCCAAGCTTGATTTATTTTTACCTTGGGTAGGCCTGTGTGTGTGTGTGTGCATGTGTGTGTGTGTGTATGTATGTATGTATGTATATATGTGTATGTATATAGATAGATAAAGATGGATGGATGGATGGTAGACATACATACCGGTATTTGTATATGTATATATGTATGCATGTATGCATGTTTGCGTGTATATAGCATGTGTATATGTGTGTTATGTATGTGTGTGAGTAGATATATACTTTCTTTTGAAGGCAGGCAACAGAATTTCATTTTTAATGTGGACCAATGTGCTCAGTAAAAAAGAACAATAAAGGTTATATCTTATCTTAGTGACCATACAAAGTTACAACAGCATTGGAAACAGTTATAGTTATAGAGAATAGGATAGGACAGGACAGGACAGGACAGGACAGGACAGGACAGGATAGAGAATAGAATAGAATAGAATAGAATAGAATAGAATAGAATAGAATAG